GCTAGCTCAGATGCGTCCACCGTGTAGTGTTGAGGTAGTGGTAAAACGCTTGCATCGTGTGTCAGATGTCCGAAGGAATATGTTCTGTTCGTAAGCTCTAATAAGAGTGAAACTGGACTTCACCGCTCCTACACTCTGGTATATATATATATATATATATTGTGCAGCCGTAACACCTCTTCGGTGCCCAACCTATAAGTCGAAGGAAGGAACCACGGGGGCTGGGATACTGTCAGGTTGTCAATTTGTCGAAATATGGGGAGCTGGGTTGTGTTTGCTGGTGGTTAGGAGACTGCCCACGGGGGCTGGGATACTGTCAGGTTGTCAATTTGTCGAAACATAGGGAGCTGGGTTGTGTTTGCTGGTGGTTGATCAGGAGACTGCGCACCGACGATGTCTTCTCGACTGGGGGCGAAACTTTTGCAAACTTATTACCATACTCGGCGAACAGTTCAACTGCCATCTGATCAACCACCAGCAATACTGTCAGGTTGCCAAAGCCTAGAAAGGAGACGTCGAGAGGTAGAAGCCTGGTTCGAACCACGGACCTTCTGGTCAGTAAATTCGCGCTCCAATGACTGAGCCATTTCTATTGGTGTGGACTGACCAAAGTAACTGATGCCGAATAAGAATGGTGGAGTGAATACAGATTTCACCAGTTACAACTAATATGAACGACAAGACTTTTCTAAATTTTTTGAAATGGTTTGTCAATTTTTATTGCCAGATGATCAAGTCACTGACATTCCCCATAGCATGTTCATCGCGTTCACTGATAGCGCTGGAAAAATAAAGGTTTATCCTTTAAAATGTGTCAAGATAAACCTCAGCATACGTATGACATGTATTTCCAGTGACAATACACAAACTGGATACTGACGTCTCCTAAATAGACTGGAATGGATAAGTGCACCTGAAATTAGTTTATTCACTAAGCTTAACTTTTTGAAGGGCGAAACCGGTCGTGGACTGTCGACGAATTTTCAGCAACCTTATAAGTAGTGCATTACGAATATATACATGTATCGCGATATCTCGAATATTGTAGCGACTGAAACATGAGGTGGCCTGGTGCAGCACATTCAGTTGACTGGAAATATTACCAACGAGAAATTCAGCTGGGTTCCAGGTGAGTCTCCCGTGAAAACCAAATGAGTGTATATTCGCTAGTATCGTTCAATTTGGCTTCAAGTAGAACATAAGGTTGACGGAAACTCGGGGACTGCGCCTACCTGATGAGCCCGATGAAGAGCGAAACAGGTCGTGAGCTGTCGGCAAGTTTTCAGCAACCTTATGAATACTGCACTAGAAATACAGGCTTTTTGAAATCTATTGAATAATTAGTAGAAATTTAAACCGTTGCGATTGTTTTCGTTAGTCCCTCCAAAAGAGGAAATCGTCAACTTCGCCTATCCGCAGTGCCCGGTTGGGAACTGAACCTTGAACCTACGACTTGCGAGCCGAGCGTGTCCGCGCTACTTCCCCAGTGTCGACAGGAAACACACACGGGGACGCATGTTTGTCCTTTCAGAGATTATAATTCTGATGTACCGAATGTTTAGAGTTTCTATCCGACAACAGCCATAATAGCGGAGGGGCGAGATTGTTCAGTGGTTAGAGCGCGAGGGAACCCGACCTCTGTCTCTCGACTTCCTCTTTATAGGTTTGGGCAACCTGGCAGTATCCCAGCCCTCGTGCTTCGGGCAGGCAGCATAGCAGCTAGGCACCAAAAGGGTGCTATAGCTGAACGAATCTCTGGCGTGGAGTAATCAACTCATCTGGTTACTGGCAAGCTTGTTTAAGTGCATGAAATGAATTCCATCTTACAAGTCAGTGAGAAAAAATTGGCTCTGATGCATTTAGCCAATTGGTCGACTGGTTGATCGACGCAACTCGGGAAGTGTTTTTCTACCGACGATCTATGCCTATTTTTCAGTTTCTTTGTGCACAACATCTGTTCGTTTCTAATGTGTCGATTACGTGACTGTGTGTATTATTCGGGAATTGAGTTTGTTAGTGGGACCAAGCCCGCTACTCTACTCTCAGCCGTTGTTAATTTCCGTGCAATAGTCAATCTGTTCCTTAATTAAAGCATCATTGTTTTCGTGATTCACACGTGAGTACAAGCTACTAAATGCGGTAGGAGATTTGGCCACATCTGAATGGCAACAAATAATGCTAAATTGTTGCCACTGCTTCTCTGTGAAATCAGGGTGACTTGAGTTGCATAATTATCATGAATATTCGCCTGGATCTTTGGAAGATGTGATTGGCTCAATATCAGAAGAACGTCAAGTTGAACGTGAAGAAAAACGCGAGGCAAGTTTGGCTGGATCCAAACACATGTAGGTTTTCCCATCGGCCCAGCACCTGTTCAACCACTCTAATACACTAAAATCCCTCGGCTGACACCCAACAGAGATTAAGCTTGACTTAGCTGATTGGTTCTCCTTCCGCTTTAAATCTCGACCAACCTCGGAACCTCGTCAAGTGGCCTGACGATGCTTTTGTGTCAAAAGCGAAACGTTGCTGAGTAATAAATCTACCGATTGTTACCAAACTTTTCCGAAAATGTAAGCTTGATTTGTTTTTGGAGTTAAAAACAAGGAGAGGTCGAGATTGACGAATCGCTTACAACCAGAACAGGTTACGTTCTGGTTACAATATCCCTTTCTCACACCCACATCTTGGTTTTACTATTACTGTAAGATGTTCTTCGCCCAATAAAACTTGAAGTTGTCTGTGGTTTATTGATCGTCTGCATCAACGTAGCTTTGCACCTGTGCACAGCAAATGGACGTCGGAAAGAATTCACGAGCCGTCAGAAAGGTGTTTTCTCCATTTCTGCGTTAGTTGTGTGAGGGATTAAAACCCCCAAAATTTCTTAGCATTTTGACCTCCCAGTTAAGAACAAGATGAGTTTAAGGATGACACATGCGTCATTTGGCGCAACACAGAAACCTGGCCGTTGCGCGCTGAGGACGTCAAAAGATTGTCAGTGTTTGACGATCGATGTCTTCGGCGTATTACCTGAGTCTGGTGGGAACATCGGATCAGCAGTGCTGAAGTTCGTCGAATGGTATTCGGGAAAAATAACTCACCCTCGATAGATGAACTGATCACACTGAATAGGTTGCGCTGGCTTGACCACGTGCTGCGCATGCCAGTCGACCGACTTCCTCGAAAGGCTCTTTTCGCATAACCACGTGAAGGGTGGGAGAGAGCCAGAGGCGGTCAAACAATGAATTGGCAGCGAAGTGTGAAAGCCATTACCAGCAAACTCAGCTGCGCTGGTCACTACCGTCTTCTTGGATGGGGACCCCGAGACGGGTCATATCAATGGTTAGAGACATTGTCAGACATGGCCCAGTTGCGCCCTCAATGGCGCTCGTGCATCCAATGCATTTAATGCATAGCTCACTCCCCAATCCCCCCACTGATAGTGCTGGATTTATGCATCAATTTATCAGCTCCCGCCTCGAATGCGCAGCTACCTACCGCCCCCCAATCATCGGTGAACGGAACTGCGGCAGCTAGAACCACTGGACGACGAGTACGCGGGTCTTACAGCGGACTATGATGATGATGATGATGACGATGATGACGATGATGAATACTGTTTGTTACTAGTTGATATTCTGGACAGCCGCGAGATAAGACTCGGTTCCTCGATCACAATACACTTGAATACAGTTGGGGGTACAGTCCGCTCATTTGTGATATAAATTAGAAAACTGTAAACTACAGTTCCAAGCCAACCTAAACGCTTCCCAACTACCAGTTTATTGGTTTCAAACTGACTATCATTCCTGACAGAGTCCATCGACATTTTGAGGAAGATACTCAAGTACTATCTAAAACTTACACGTTTTGGAGTTTCGAACATTCGTTCCAAATTCACGACTCCTGGATGCTGGAGATTCTGTGTGTAAGAAATAAGAGGTTTGTTTGTTTTCGTTACGTTGGTTTGAATACGAATATATGTATATGGGGATATCGTTTATACTCGGCTAAACAACGGACTTAAATGCTCATCTATTTCAACTATTCCGTTGAGTGAGGACACTATTTAGGCGGTTTACTTTCAAACGGGGAAATAAACAACGCAGTGGACTGATACTGGAACCTGTGACCTGGCACGTACAAGAAGAATGCTGAGCATCATCTTTGTGCTTCGGCTCGAATTTGAAAACATCTTCGTGGCATCGAAGGTTAGACCATCATCAGACTCAAAATGGAGCCTTGTTGTGCTGTTGGCGATCTAGTCGACGGAATATGCATCTGGTTCGGAATTTAGTGGTTGAATTGTGAGTTGCTGTGTCAAGGTTTCCACCAAACGCGGTCGTTCCACCTCAAACTGATTCTGTTGTTGCAGCAGAATTTCCTTCAACGCTTCAGCAGTACCGGGCGTCGCCAGTCTGTTATATCTGACTGCCATCTCCGCTCTAGTGACAGTGTCGGGAAAAGACTCGCCAACAAGGAACATAACAGCTTTATTGCGAACAAGTGAGTGCAGCAGTTACAAGGGGCCTCGCGGTATTTTAAATTTTACTTTCCATTGATCCACGATGCTGCTGAATCGATTGATTGACTGACTGCCCGGCCTGGATGCTTCCCGGCTTTCCTATGGAGATTTTGGTATAGTTTAAGGGTCTCAGTAGGTTTCAGGCGTTCTGGGGTTATTTTCAGCTATCTGACCCTCCTGGCACAAACGCAGCGGACTGAGAATAGAATATCTGACCTGGCACATACAACAAGAATGCTTTGTTGTCCTATACTACTGCGGACATTGTTGTACCTCACACGTGGATGATTATCTCACGCTCACTTGCTTATTGATCCAACAGCTAGGCTCGTCAGTTCTTTTCGAATCGTGCGAATCCAAGTTCCATACTAAGCTTGCACTCGCGAAGGGAATGGATCTTCAGATTTTACACACAAATAGGTGCTACAGCTACGATTGACTTGCTTGCAAGACCTTTGTAGGATATACGGGTAAGTCTTAAAATTTAAAGCCGTACAAAATAAAACCACAATTGCTTCCGGAGAAAATTACTCAGTCGATGTGAGTAAGGTATGGATAGGTTCTCAATGACACTCGATAGCTGCATTTGGCACATACCGAGATCGAAGACGTTTGCTCACACTGTCTTAACAAAACTGTTATCTAGCTCTCATGTAAAATAGGAATAAGTCCATAAATAAATCCATCCATCTAGAGTTTATTTTGAGGTCACTTTCAAAGATAGACCTCGCTCTTCTGAGGAGTTCTGTGACTTTAGTCGAGAATTGTTCCTTCAGGCGAAGTCAGTCTGTGCATAAAAAGACCCTACACCTGCTTTGCCCTCTTTGAAAAGCCTCAGCATGCAAGTCTCCTCAAAGATTTGCTGTTGTGACTCCCCAGGATTGTGGCTGAAGACCGCGCGTGGCCAATCAGTCATTTGAACTTAGACAGAATACAGCGTCACTCATCCTTGGGTCACGGCAATGACATCACGTGGTCACCGCTTGATTAGCTCTTCCGGTGACAAGTTTTCAGACGACAGTTTTGCGAAATTTGAGTTTTGTGCGATACACACTACTGATGGTTCCTTAAAGGGATGAAACGTCAATGTTTTTCAGCAGATGCTAACTTCACGTGAAGTGTGAACTCTGGAGTAAGCATTTAGTCTCCCACAGATGTGGGATTTGTTCAGATCGTATTCAAAACACTCGTCTGAACAAACCTCTGGCGTAATCGCATCAACACAGATGCATCAAGAAGCTGTTGGGGTGGTATTAATACATTGGCTTTGCTTGTCATAGGATAGGAGTTCACACCACTGCGCTCTGTCAACCGCCGTTGAGTTCGGAGACTACCCACATCAACACTGACTGCCTAAATGACAGTGATGTGAGAAGAGGCAGGTAAATTCGAAGAAATCCGAGTTTTGTTCCGAGTGGAATGGACCGTTACTTTGATTTGAGCAGCACTCAATCTGTGTGGGTCATTTTGACATTGCTTGCGGTATAGCAGCGTCAAGCAAAGCCTTCTGGTGCCTTTTATAAGTCAAACGGACTATCAAGCCTGAGTTACCTCTGTCAAAATCATGCAGAGATATTCTGTCATGCTACGTCTCCTGTATAACATAATCTGAACCAAAAAGGGTTTTCTCAGGGTGTTTCTTTAACAGAATGGTTGTTGAGGATTGGTTGTTCAAACTGAATCTCTACCTACCCGTAGAATAAACACTTCGTTTTTCAGTTGTGCTTCCTTTTTGGTTGGAAACCTGAGTTTATCGATCACCTTGATTGCCACGGGACGTTGGGTTCTTCTGTGGTTTCCTGCGAATAAAATAATTGCAGAAAAACCTGGTTGGAAGGAGGGAAACTGTATTTGAAACAAGGTGAAAATGAATACTCCACTATTCGAAAAGACTTATTGTTATGAATGGTGGATTTTAGTTGAACGAAACTGCTCTCGAATGGCGCGCGTGTGTGCCATAGTGAATCCCAGCCGTAAGCAAAACACTAGCCCAGTGCTTCTGGGTTGATAAATTAGTGACTTTAAAGTGTGCACGTGCAAGATGGAGATGACAGAATGCAGATTTTGGACTGTGGCAGACTCATTGGTCCATAGTTCAATGCTGGTGAAAACGGTGGTGATCAACTCGATCAATGACAAATCGGCTATCTGGTCTCCGGGGGATCAGGGTTGCATAAAACCTCAAGATCAGGACTACGCTTGAAGGAAAAGCGACAGGTAATCCACGGTAGTGCTGGAATTGCTCTGCTCCTCTCAGTAAGGACCAACCGTGGATCTCGGTCAAACTGGCCCCTTCTAAGTAGCTGGCTCCTATTGGACTCATCAGCCATCTCCCTGGTCCTATGAAGTAATAACTAATTATTAACTTTATGGCAATTATTCAACTGGTTCGTATTTCTCATTGTTCACTTTTTGATCTTATCTCGTTTTCTACATAATTCAAGTATGAGGGCCCATAAATATGGAATGCAACCGTTACCTAAGTGCCCAGTGTCTTTAGCGAACTCGCATTGGTCAAACCAGTCAGCAACCTTAGAGCAGTACAATTACAAAAGGTATACATGTATCGCGATATCTCGAATATCGTAGCGACTGAAGCATGAGGCGGTCTGGTGCAGCACATTCAGTTGCCTGAGAATATCACAAACGAGAGATTCAGCTGTGTTCCAGGTGAGTCCCTCTAGAAACCAAATTAAGTTGCAAATGAGTGTGTATTCGCTGCCTCCGTGCAATTTGGTTTCAAGTAGAACATAAGGTTGACGGAAACCCGGGGACTCGCCTAATTGATGAGCTCCAAAAAGGGCGCAACCGGTCGTCGGCTGTCGGCGGATGTTCAGCAACCTTATGAGTAGTACATTACAAAAGATATAAAAACCAGATACCGTTTAACTCTTTTCTAGCCTCAAAATCACCCTGTTGCTACACGTTTCTGACCCGTTTGATTGTTTGTCCTCAGAGATGCAGGCAGGTAAAGAAAACATTGTCTACGCCAAATCGGTAGACTAAGCCCATACAGAAACAGAAAAGAGGTGGACTGAATTTCATCCCATTTATTTGGCTTGGTCAACCTCACAGTACAAATTGTAACTCGGATGAAACTAGGTTGATTTGTCATCGGTCTGGTACATTTCCACTCTCGAATTTTTGGTTGGATTGAGTTATATTCATCCAATAGTCCCGGAAACCAATCCAAAAGCTAGGTTGTTACTTTATGTTTGAGGATCATGGTTTAACTTCGACAGAAAAAAAGACTAAGCCGGTTTGGCGTCGCGAGGCTTGGAGACCCACTCAATCTAAGCTAATCCACCCAAATTTTAGAAGTGTGACGTCAGATTGTGCCATCTAAAGCGCACGGGATCTGTGAATGTATCCACGGAAAGCAACACATGGAAAGTTTTGAAACTATAATTTTTCGGAGTTGGTATAAAATTAACAACTTTTCATTCATTTTTTATGTGAAATCGCTCCTTTGTACGTAAATTTTAGCTGTAAATTTCAATGACCAGTTTCAGGGGTGCACGCCGCAGGTGACTAGCAGAGCTAAACCTGTCTTTTAAGGATCCTGGCCGACCGCAGCTGAATGGAAACCGATTATCTCGTCTCCGTTTCTTTATTTCGGGAAAACTGGTTCCTGTTGAAGAGTAGTGGGGCAGAAATTGCATGACGTTCAGCAGTTCAGTTGTAAAGTTCGTGGAGCCCGATATAGAGTTCCGTCAGAGGGGAGAGGACGGAGTGAGTTGGGATATTCTATTATGATTTGTTGTTGGTCATTGTCTTGCTTAGCTGATGCGATGAGTCGAACATCGCTAAACGGTCACTTGCCATAGGTTACATGCTATCGACAGCTCTCACATGGAAAGGCTTGTTTCACACTGTAACTGGCAATATTGAACCAAGGAGTTTCATGCTCTGGGGCCGAGTATGGTGAGTGTCTGCCAATAAGTTGTGACCATAACTTCCAATGAATGACAGGGAAGCATATAGCCGTAGATCAATTCGCCAAGCGGTTCGACAGATCTGTTGTCTGTGCGCAGCTGCATAGGTACATCTTCCATGCCTGCTTTCTTTCAGTAGGTTTCAAATACTACGTGATATCGATTGATGCGATTAGGCACACAGGTATGTACTCTTCTCGTAATGCTTTTGACCTCCTTGCAATTTGTTTCGCGTTACTTGCATCTGATTTGTTCTTGGTTCCTGAGGTTTGTGATTCCTGTTTTAAAGTGGTCTGTGTTGCATCGTGGTCTGTCCTCTGGTTTTGACGATCTGTTGTGGCGCTTCCTGATTGTCTTGAGTGTGACTGATCGTAGTTTTCTTTCTGCTGTGGAGCTGGGTGGCAGACCGTATCACAACATATTTCAAACTAGCCAATAAGATTACAAGAAAAATGTGCGCCAATTGGCTAATCGCACCCATCGATAGCGGATACGCTTTGAAAACTATATAAATGCAATCAATCAGGAAGGGAATGCCAACCCAGCTGATACCGACGCCTCTTCGACTGGCGACTGACTAGAAGCTAACTGCTAATCCAGGGAACAGGTCAACGTTCACCTGATCAGCCACCATTAAATGAACCCGAACCATCAGTATTTCGATAAATTTGATCGTGTACCGCCTCCCCCTGATCGGTCTCCGTTCTACCCATTTTTTTGACTTCATTTTTTACTTTTTGGGAATATCTCTATCCAAGAAGACGTCTACAGTATAATCGGAGACAACAGAAAGCCGTGGTTAGCTTTTTTTTAAATGAATGATGTTATTGCAAGTGACTTCGTATATTTGCGTGAGTCTCTTTGAATCTGCTCTGTACTATGGAATGAGTTGCGGGAAAGCTTGGCCTGATAAATTGACACGCATACAAACACTTGACGCGATTATCTCTGTTGAATCCGTTCGATATATTTGAAGGGTCCTTATTCCAAAGCGAGTTTGGTGGAAGAAGACATTTGCCGTTAAAATCTTGTGTTAAATACTGTAATCTTTCTAGAGTGATCACATTTCTTCACTAAGGCTGCCATTTCTGCGTTGGAGGGGTAATTTTTTCCTTTCTTTGTGACGAAATAAGTCAATAAATGGATTGCACGCGGTCAGGAAATACCAGATTTTGAAGAAGGTGTATGTTTCACAGATATAATCCTGACCAAAAGCGAGGAAGCCCGTTGAATGTTGAATGGTATGTGGGACCCCCCCGTCAAGGATTTACCTTCTGTTTGTACTAGGTCTGTGGTCACGATTGATTTAGTGTTCCAGGTACTTGGCATCTGATCATTGAGGGCTGAAGCAACACTTTACGACTGATCCAATGCAACGTTCTTTTCCTTGACGGAACACACTACTTACGAGGTTGCTGAAAACTTTCGGAAAGCTCATGGCCGGTTCCGCCCTTCTTGAGGCTCACCAGACAGGTGCAGTTCCCCAGGCTTTTCCATGTTTCCATGTTCTTCTTGAATCCAAATTGTACAACGGAAGGTGTTGTGTAAGCACTACGATGTCGTCCTACAGAAACGATACTTCTAACCAAGAGCAACTCTTTTAGACGGACACCTCAATTGTGCAAACGTCTACCGCTGCACTGCTGCGCTTCACTATACAGCAACGTACCGGGACGAAAAAATGCATAGCTTAGCGAGAATTTAGACAACTGACCGAATGTTCGACCCACTGGCTGCTTCCAGTGTTCGTCAGAAAACACTTCCAATCAATTGGAAAATGTTTGGGACCGAAAGGGGAGTCATCGTTTGAGAGGGGTTCGGTAAATAATCGGTGGATTTATTGCTGGGCAACGTTTCGCTTTTGACACAAAAGCTTCGTCAGGCCAAGTGAGTAAGTAAGTAGGTTGATTGGGTTTTAAGTCAGTCAGGGAACCAATCCGTAAGATTCCTTATGACTAGTGACTTGATCAGTGCTGGGTGTTCAGTCTGGTGTTCCCGTTTGTTGATTAGTGGAGATGATTAAGATTTTCGATAGATTGGTTAAGGGGGATTCGTCTTTATGATGAACCCGGATTTTTTTCGTCCTTGCTTCTTCAGTCTAGGACACCTCAATGGAAAATTCCTCTTGGGGTCGTTCACAGATTTCGTTCACCTGTGTTCGTCCAAGGGTGCTGGTTTGGGGATGGGGGTAGGATGGTTAATTGGATCTAACTCTACTTGAATTTTGTACTTTTGGACCCAGGCCATTTCGCCGATAACTGCACACCGCCTCGTGTCATCTCAGCCGATCTAAGACCGCTCTCTACACGTCTGCAAGTTCTGTTTCCTTTATTCTCTTCACGCTGGGATGCTTGGCGATTTCCACCGCCTCGGCCACCAGTCGCTGTGATGTGAATCTTAAACCCTGTCTCAGGATGTCCACATTTTCTAAATCTATTCTGTACCCAGTGTCTAGAGCATGCCCTGCCATTGCTGAATCTTTGACTAACGCCTGATATTCCTCTGCGTTTCTCGGTGGTCTGTTAATGGAACGCTTATGCTCACCGATTCTGGTATGCAATTCCCTGGCTGTCTGACCTATGTACACCTTCGTACAATCGTTACATTTTATTTTGTATACACAGTTCCTATTCCTATCAACCGGAAGGCGATCCTTCAAATGCACCAACACCGAGCGTAAATTCTTCCTCCTCTGGAAAGCCACTCTGATGTTAGCCGTATTCAGTACCCTTCTAATGACTTCAGATGTCCCTGTTTTGTATGGAATGACCGCTGTTCCGATCCACTCCTTGTTGGGCTTTGGTATTGACATCAATACCCGTCTTAGTTGCTGGTTAATTAAACTCACTGGATATCTGCTATCTTGAAGTCGCTTTTTTACCTCAAGTTGTGCTGCTCTTCGGTCGACACAGTGCTCTCACTCTCCTAAACATCGCTGAAGCTATTTGGGTTCGACATATAAAGTTGTGCGCAATCAGGAAGTAACAGTCACTTCATCGTTTGTTATGTGCCGCAGTAATCAACACATCAGGCGATCTATTTCGGAAGTCATATTATTTCAGAATGACCCACGGGATGAAGAACAACTTGGGATAAAGAAACTCTTTGGAAAGGCTACTCACCTGCGTAGACAATACCAAACTGACCGGATCCAAGAACTTCATCCGGGAAAATTTCATAAAGCGCTTGTACACCCTGGAACGGTTTATCGCAATCAAGAAGTTGTAGTGAGCGACTAAAGTGAGGGGTGAGAATTAGAAAGCTGGATTCTGAAAATACTTGGAGTGTGTAAGTCGGATAGATCTGGATGGAGTTTCAGGCAGTGTTTTGTAACCCATCAATCAACGAGAGTGTGGTTGATCCATTTATGTGGTCGAAAACGGACTAGATAGATTATTTGTCTAGACACGCGGCTACGTTCTAGACATTCGGCCGTGCAATTTTATCATCTCTGCGATCAAAACATGTCTGTTTGGAGACAACGGTGATGTTTGAGCATGGCCCCCTCACTTAACTACATCAGACAGGATTTTTTTCAACTCGGTACATCCTGTGCTGTCCACTGGATTGTGTCCTACAATCTCCATGCGCTTCCGTCCACTCGTTATGACAAATTGATGGGCTAAAAGGTCGGTATTACATACTTAACTCGTTCAAGCAGTACCACTGAGTGACATTAGCCCCAAATCCATATTCTGATCATTTTTTGCCCGTTTTGAAGTATTATTCAACGAAATTCTTCCAAGCTTTATGAATTCTTTTAAAATAGGCAGATGAGACCTCAAAATGGAAAAAAATGTGAAATTGTGGGTTACTCGAAAAAGTCCGCAGACTAACTCTGATTCGACCTAGAAGACCTCATCACGCTCACTTTAAATCACGTCATCACGTACACACTTTTCTGATAGTTTGTTTTGTTCATGACGGACTACAACTGGCGTGATGCAAGGATAACAATCCTTCCATTCATTGAACGTATTCCCAGATGTAAAATTTGAAACCACTGCTAGCTATTTTGAATATTGTGGGCAGGATGGCTTAAGTGGTTAGAGCGCGAGTCTACCGACCAAACGTTCCGAGTTTCGAACCCAACCTCTGCCTCCCGATTTCGCTTGGGCAACCTGGTGGTATCCCAGTCCTTTCATTGATGAAAGTGGCCGATTCGACTAGTTATTTGCTAGAAGTAGGACGACACTGATAAGTGGACTGTATTCAACGAACCAACTGTCAACGTGAGGTCCGCGTCAGATCGCCCGCAAACCTTTCTCGTTTCTCGTGATGAGTAAGCCTAGATTTTCCGGATTTTTTCCGGCACTGAATTTTTATTTTTGGGGAACAATTCAGTGGTGTAACTTGGAAGACAGTCTGCGGCAGTACAGTGAGAAGCGAATTTTTACATCACAGCGAAAGAAAATCCAAGTTTTAATTCATTAGAAATGAGTCATTTGAAGTGTTGCACAAATGGGCATTTTCCATTGATTGTGGTCGAGTCTGTGCATATCCTGTGAGGATGCAAGCACTGGAGATACCGCGGCACAGTGAGTCACATGTTTTTTCCAGTAAAGCTGAGGCATTAATCGATCATCACGTGACAATCAGCTGATCTTGAAAAACATTGGGGTAACAAAAGACAATGGTAGACTTTCTCACTGTAACCTGTGAACTACAGCAAAACGGGATAAGGACGTCGACCTGGCAGTGTTGCGGTTGAAATGGGTGTAAACACGAATCAAAAATTGTGATTATCGATGTCGTCGGGACCGACGAAGGACACCGCATTAGGGATTGGATCAGGCTAAGATTCCAAAACTGGTTTACACAAAATAAGTGCTAAAGCAAGCAGCGCGTTTAGGAGATGCAAATCACAGTTTTGTTCTGTTGTTTACTTTTATTGGAAATAAGCTGGTTTCCACGCCCAGTTCAGGGTGGCGTAAACAGAGAGGTGGCCAACCCTTGACTTGGCGGAGGAGTATGAAGGAGATCACAAAACGCTTGGGTGTTGTCGGGGCTACTCACCTTCAAGGATGGGGACCGCGTGGTCCTCACTGTGCCTGGTTGGAGACACTACAAGATATGGCTGCTAACGGATGTCAGTGGCGTTCTTGTTGTCAGTTTCTATCCAGATTGCCTGAGTGAATGTCTGGATGTGTAGGCACCTCGAAATGATTGTGTTAAGCTAACACTAAGTCCCTCCCCCATCCACCTTCATTCTTTTCCTTACAATAAGGCTTTCAAGTAAATCATTGTTGTACGGCAGTGAAGCCACGGTGTTGAACACTGATGTCATGCTGTCGATGATGATGATGATGA